GCATGGATGTTTTGCCTCAATGTATGTTATGTGCACCACATGCATGCATGCATGCTTGGCACCCAAGGAGAGCAAAGGTGGACCTGGAGTTAGTTTTGAGTCACCATGTGATGTGGTGCTGGGAATCAAACCTGGCCCTTTTGAATAGCAATATGTGCTCTTAACCACTGACCATCTACAAGCCCAACCTCTGTTTTATGTCTATTCTTTCAAAAGCTAAAAGTGTTAGTGGCAGCAGATAGGACAGGAGAGCAACTGTCAGGGGCAGCTAAAGGAAAGGTCAATAAATAACCTGCAGGACAAAGGCAAAGGTCATCATCGGCTTGTAGCAGGCTGGGACTCCTCTTCACCAAATCAGAACTGGGGTCTTAAACTGAGGTTGCCTTATGTAGGGCATACAATACGTTGACAGGATTGCTTTGGAGAGTTTTGGGGACTTGCTTTAGTGGAAAGTCATGATTATGGTCTCTTTACCCTGTGATAACAACATGAGAGGAATGGCAAGTGGCCATTACTGACCAGCCTTGAGTTTTTCTAAATGTATAGAACAAGAAAAAAAATTAACACATTTGGTTTTATTTCACCTTAGTATTGGTTGTTTTCTAGGGTCACCTCTTTTTCACTCAATTGGGCACAAATCCCTTCCATAGTAGTTCTAACAGAAGACAGTTAAAGCCACCTAGGTTTCTCTCACAGCCGGATGCTTTTGCTAAGTGATTTCCTTTATTACTAGTTATATAAGAATAGTCATTCCTGTGTGAATCTGTCAATAACGAAGGAAAAAAACTAAACACCAATCTGAAAACTACAAATATTTCAAAACACAGCCAAACTGTAACTAAGTATCAAAAAATGTTTAATAGGCTTTAATTTTAATCACAAAACCATCTATATTATGGGATATCATCCTGCCACGAAAAAAATGGATGAAAAATGCTAATTCAGACACAAAATATTGTCTGATTCTCTATGAAGTACCTGGGAGAGGCAAACTCACAGAGACAGAAAGGCTAAGGGGATCAGGACTGCTCACAGGTCTCTGATTTAGTCACTGTGGCGATTTATGATTATCTCCTCAATTTTGGCCACAGTGTTAAGATTATTGCCTCAAAACAATACAAAACATTATGGTTGCACACCCCTTTAATCTCCATGAATGTGAGGCTACCCTGGTCTATATAATGAGTTCCAGGGCAGCCTGGAGCCAGGGCTAAATCAGGTCTCAACATACAACAATAAAAAGCTGCAAGAAGTGATAATCATTTGTTGTGTTACAGTTTCTTAGAGAAATTGAAACATTCCGCCCTCTAAGAAGCTCCTTAAAGAAGGCAAACAACTCAAAAAGATTCAGGAAGTCCCTGAAACTAGCCATTCTTTAGGTCCCTCCCTGCCAGAGTAAACAATAAAAGTTGACACTCCACCCCCAGAAAGAAGCTGAGCTGCAAAAAACCAAACCAAACCAAAACAAAACAAAAAACAACAACAACAACAACAAAAAAGACTCTCACACCAGACCATTTGCCTGGAAGAGGTTTAGACCAAGCAAGGCACTAGAAAGGGCACTCTCCAACATGCTGAGCTACTCGAAGGCTGTGCAGTGTGTTTCAGGTTCCCAGCCTTTATCAGTTGTCCCCTATGCAGGGGTGGGCTTTCGTGATATGGCTGTCTTTGAGTCTTTTCTGCTCCTGTGACTAATTCCAATAAAACTCACTGGTTCACCAAGTTGGACCTCTGGTGGTATGCATACTGTGATATCTGGGTGGGTTCCCTATCGACCTGTGTGTTGCATTTCCGAAAGAAAAGTTTTGTCAACACAACATCATTGAAGTATTTGATGATAAACTACTGAACCATGACAGCCAAGAGAGGAGAAGGGAAAGGTCAGGCAGGCCTCCATGCCCTCTACAAGTAATGGTTACAGTGCTTTGCTACTGTTTCATTCAAAACAAGACCTCCACAAACAATGCTATCACTCTCAAGTTTAAGGATGTAACAACTGCACAAAAACAGAGACCTACAAAACCCAAATATCTGTCTGGTTTCCACTAAGATGTGTTAAAAACCCAAGAGGTACAAACAAATTACTGGTGTCCTAAGACTACCCACTCCTATTGTTGCTTACTGGTGGTGGCTCCCACCTCTAATCCCAACACTTGAAAGGCAAGAGGCAAGCTCATCTCTGAGCTCAGTCCAGCCTGGTCTACAGATCAATCTCCAGGACAGCCAGGAAAACACAGAAACCCTGTCTCGAAAAATAACAGGACTAACTGTTGTTCTTTTGTTAGTTATAGGATAAAGCTGGAAGGGGGTGGGTGGTCCCGAGTTGAGGGACCCAAGGTAAGGGACCATGTGGGAGAGCATAGCAGGTTCCATAGCAGGTGAGGGTAACCAAGGTGAAGGGAATAACACACCAGGCAGACAGAGCTCAAGTGAGAAGTTTATTTAGGAGGAATGAGAGGGAAGGGAAGAGACACAGAGACACCGGGAACAGAAGAGAGGAGAGAGGTGAGAAGATCAAGTGCAAAAAAAAAAGCAAAGAGATCATAAGTGGGTGGTGTCTGTCTTTTAAAGGGGTCCTTCACACCTGCCTGCAGACTAGTTAGTACTCATGGAACCCTGAGCTGATCAGAGTTCTGCCTGAGTGCATTCTGCCAGGTGACACGGGCAGGCCTGAATCCTTAACACTAACCACATGTACAACTATTTTTACAAGGGCTACAGGTAACTAAGTTTGGTGCTTATGTAAATCTGTGACCTATTAAGCCAATCTAATCTAATGCATTAGTTCAATAAACTATACAGAGTGGAGTTGCAACTCATGCCTAGGATCAACTAGGATCAAATGAGATCCATTCCGACCACAAAAACACACATGACATTTTAAATTTAGCTAGTCTTCCATTTCTTCACTTATTGTACAGTCTTAATTCAGTCCTTAAGATTATTTTCAGAATCTGAACTTGGGACATGCATAATTGACCACACACCACTCAGCTCCTTTTTGGTAACAACTGCAAGCCACAAAGGCAAAAAAGAAGGATCATTTACCACCAAGACATTTCTGAGGAAATAGGCCATCCCTTGCTATTGCCATCAAATATTCATATCAACCGTTTTTTGCAGACTACTCAGTAACACACTTGACAATTAAGGTTTTAAAGAAATAGATATTAAAACGCCCCCAAGCTGCTCTATGTGCCCTTGTAAGCAGTCAGTCACACAAGGGCAGTAATGACTAAATGCTGACTTAATTGCAAATTAACCTACATTAGTCAGGCCCCTCACTTTCTCCCCTAAACTGTCTGTCTTGATACACAGTACTTAATACCACACAATACCAAGTTTTTTTTTTTTTTTTTTCCTTGTCTGGAAAAGCAAGTTAACAATTTGGTAAGGTCAGATGCCAAACAGATAAAAGAAGCAATTTTAAATGGTTAATATGTATTTGGTACCCCAAATTTGGTAAATCCATCTAAAGCCTCAAACCTGCTTTCATTATTCTATTTTTACCAAAGAGGGAAAAGGCTTTTGGTTTAAATATGTCAGTATACAAACTACTGGTTAGACACCAAAATGTGTGCAAGGCACCGTCTGATTTACTATTAGGTACTAGCTAATTGGGTTTAATGTAAACATACAGCTCCTGATGAGACTGAAACTGCAGAGCATATTCTAACCAGAGATTCATTCAGTGAAGAACAGCGCCCTGAACACTTCCTACTACATTTCCGTAGGGCTCGCCCTCCTCCTTGAACCACAGACCCGTCAAACTTACTGCATATCTCGATACTACTAGACCAGCTTTGCCTTTCAGGAGCTTCATCTGTTTCACTCACTCCTCTGAATGTTATCATTTTAATAAGCAAATCACATCATATTGAGACTCCGCCCAAACGTGGAAAATTAGTAAAGCGTTAAGGGCTTCTCAAGCTCAAGTTTTATTAACACAAGAGCTAGGTGAACTAGCTACGGTGTTATTATTCTGTCTAGGTAGTACCCCAACAATGAAGCTGGCTAGCATGTTAACGTAGTACTGCACAAAACCAACAGTCAACATTTTTCCGTACCTCTCTAACAGTTTAGGCTGTTTGGGGCCCTACATGGTCTTCCTGACTTTCGCTAAAAACCGTTTAAAACAGTAAAAGAGACTTCTTGTAATTCTGTTCATAGAGAAGACAAGCACCACTGTGTATAAAGTTAAAGGGCTACAGATATTGGAAACTACGACTTTTATTAGTTTGGTGGCAAATGCCCTCTGCTGTGCAAACCAGCCCAGCCCATCCGCATACGGCCCACCACTTTAAAAAAAAAAAAATCCACAAGGCGTGGAAAAACTCAAAAGGCCAGTGAACTGCCGGGCCCTTCCTTCCCTAACTCCCGTTTCGGGTCGAACAGGCGAGGAGCGCGCTGGCGGCGCGGGTGACAGGCTCCAACCGCCGCCGAACCCGCACACGCGAGCCCTACGCGCCACCCAAGTCCCGCCCCGCAGCGGCGACGGCCCCGGCCAGCGTGACCGCGGGGCAGCAGCGGCCGGCGGGCTCGGCGCCGCCCGCTCCGGGAAGGGCTCCGGGCCGACACTGCGCGTCCGAGGAATCGGGGCGGGGCCGCGCCACCCCCTCCCGGAGACGGCGGGGGAACGGCGCGCGTCCGCCCCGCGCCCCGGCCCTGTCAACGCCCGGCGGGTGGCCCGGCGCGGGGCGGCGCCCTCAACCGGCCCCGCCGCACGTCCGTTGGCACCGGCGTGCCGGAGCGCCGGCCCCTCCCTCCCCGCCCGCCCGCCGCCACAGCCCGCTTCCGCTCGCTCAAACTACGCCATTGCGGCCTAGCCGGGCGCCGCCCCTCCCCCGCGCCGCCATCTTCGCGGCCCGCCGCCCCCGCCATCTTTTTGGGCCGCCATACTTGCCCGGGCGGAGAAGATGGCGGCGCCCATCACACACATAAAACATGGCTTCCCTTCAAAACAAAAACATCCCGAGCAGCGGCGCGCCGCTGGCACTCACCTGAGGACCACATGGTGACGGAGAACTCGCCCTCCAGGGTCTTGATCTGCACCTGCTTCTGCTCCCACTTCTTATTGCCCGGGTCGGCGCCGCCGCCGCCCGCCGCGCCGGCCCCGCCGCCCAGGTAACTCTTCTTGCCGCTCTTCTTGCCGCCGCCCTTCTTAACGCGGCCGCCGCCCGACGAAGACCCGCCGCCGCTCTTGCCGGCCGCCGCCACGGTGACCAGCGTCTGCTCGATGTAGTCGTCGTCCCCGCCGGCCGGCGCGGGCACCGGGATGAGGATCTGGTCCTCGAACCCATCCTCGGCGCGCAGCCCGTCCGAGTCGTCGCCCCCCACCACCTCCTCGCGCGTCTGCACCAGGATCACCTCCTGGTGGTGGTGCACCTGGCTCGGGTCGTCGGTGACGAGCGGCTGCAGGGCGATCATGGGCGGGTGGTGGTGGTGGTGGTGGTGGTGGTGGTGGTGGCCGGCGTGCCCGTGGCCGCCCCCGCCACCGTGGTCGCCCCCGCCCCCGTCCTCGTCGTCTTCGTCGTCGTCCTCCTCCTCGCCCACCACCGTGGTCTCGATGGTCTCCACCGGGATGGTCTCCACCTCGATCTCGTGCAGCTCTACGATCTCGGCTGGCATCTCCGAGCCGTCCGTGGCAATGTAGAGGGTGTCGCCCGAGGCCATGGCTGAGGGCTCGGCCGCCACGGCCGCGGCAGCCTCGGCTCCTGGGCTGCGGGAGGGCGGGCGAGGAGGCGGCCGGCCGTGGGGAAGGAAGGCAGAGGGAGGAAGGCGGCGAGCGGGCGGGCGGGGGGAGAGGGGGCGGGCGGCGGGGGAAGGGGCGGGCGCGGCGGCCGCGGGGCTTCCCCGCCTCCCTGGCTCGGTGCGCCCCGCGCTCGCTCGGCCGCTGCCGGTCCTGCTCCCCGCCTGGCTCGCCTCGCCTCAGCTGCCCGCCCTGGCCGCGCCTCCTCCCGCCCTCCGGGCCGGCGTTACGCGGCCCCCTTCCTCCTGCGCCTCCGCCTCCTTCCACACAAATACCAACTCCTCAGCCCGAGCCCAGATCTCGCCGCCGCCGCCGCCGCCACACTCTGGTCCGGCTCCGGCCTCGCGAGACTTCCGCGGGGTCCTCGCCCCGCCCCGCCTCGCTCCCACTCGCCGTTCCTGGTTCTCGCTCCTCCCTCTCTACCAATCGCGCTGCCCCACTGGTCGCCGAGGCCCCACCTACTCACCCGGGATCCTCCCCGATTGGAGCCGCTGGGGCAGGGGGCGTGGTGGCCCGCACGCGCGCTGGCTGGCCCCCGGCGCGTGACGTCAGCTACGCGCCGCCGTCGCTTTACGGCTCTCCGCGTCGCGCGGGCGGACCCCGCCTTCCGCGGTGCAACAGCGACAAAACCGCCGCCTGGGGCCCGGGCCGCTTTCGGGAGCGGGGCGTCGGCGCTGCGCCTTCCGCCTCAGGAGCCGGCGAACGGTCCGCGCGACCCCGGCGCACGGTAACTAGAGCTGGGGTGGAGGGGGGCGCGCGCCGAGGGCTGGTGCGTTGCCGGCGGAGCGTGCGAACAGCGGCCGCGTCGCCGCAATAAAGTCTGCTCTGACGAGAAACGCCTGTGGCTGTGTTTTTGTTGCTTTGTTTTGCGTTTGTCCTCGACTCCTGGGTTCGGCGAGCGGCGGCACCGGGGAGTGAGCGGCCGAGGGCAAGCTCCGCCGCGGGTGCCGGTCCCGGGCTCTGCGCCTCGCGTTCCGGTGGGCGGCGCGCGCTGGCCCGACCGCGGCGTGCGGAAGCGGCGCGCGCAGCCTCGGGTTCACCGTTGGAAATGCGTCCGTTATTCTTTTATGACCCGCGGAAACCGGAGACTGAGCCGTTGGGTGCCTGTTGGAACTGAGGGTCTCGGCCGCTCCAGTAGTGGGAATCCGCTTTTGTAGCGTTCTAAACTTTCCTGTCTTTAGATACCTTGACACGGGCTTCGCCTATTCCTCGCTCTCATAAATTTTCTTTTGACCCCTTGGAAATTGCGCTTCTTTTGTGCGTTCCTCTTTACAGCTGTAACGGCTTCCTTTTTCCGGTCATAAATCATCAAGTTAAATTGCTAAAGATACATTGTAGCGAAGTGTTTCTTGCCCCTATGCATGCTTTCGGTCGACTACATGTAGTTTAAAGCAACACATAGATTGCATGCCTTTTCAAGAGAATCACGAAAAGTCGGAATTTTGGGGAAGTGTGTCGTTGTATACTTGCTTCTACATTTAAACCCCCCCCCACACACACACACACACACGCACCGTCTTTTGATCATTCTGGTCTGCTCTTGTCTTCTGGAGAGTACATTCCGTGCATCTTTGATCAAACTAGTTGAAACAGTTACACACCTTACAGTGTTGAACCTACAGTCCAAGCAAGATTTACCTTATAAACTAGGAGGAGTGGGATCGGTCAGAGGTATATTTAAGTATACCTGAAGCTCTTTTCTGAACTAAATAGCTCCCCAGCCTGCCCTGAAACTTGCAGTCTTCTGCCCCTGATTCCCAAGTGCGAAGTTAGACATTTGTGCCACCACATCGTACCTTGGAGTCCTTTATCTGGGCATGAAGATGTGATTATTGGCATGCATCTCTCTGACAACAGTAGTTGCATGCTGATTTCCTTATGAACACAGGCTTGGCTGACCTGTCTACAGTATAGACCTGGGGGGTGATTATTCACTTTTGGATTCTTCCATAAAGTAAGATGGAAGCAGAGACTAAAGTTCTGTGTACTCTTGCCATTTCTTAGGCCTTGGAGCCCTTCAGAGTTTCTAGCTTGCTCAGTGTCTTCTCATTTACTGGGGAGGTAGACTAGAACAAACATAGGATTGTGTACAAGATTGAAGGATTTTGACAGCTGTGCAAAACTTTCCAGTGTCGTAGGAATCAGAGCTTGTTAATGGTTGAGAAAATGTGACACATACCCGTGAAGAATGTTTTCTTTGACCACTTGGCCAGGACAGCATCAGAATAGAGTTGTGGCCTGTTAGCTGAGAACTCCTTTGATGTCTCTGAAATTGCTGTCCTTTCCCATTTGTCTGGAACTTACCTTAAATTCCTTTGCTTTAAAGTGTGAGTATGGGAAGGCTGGAGGGCAAGAGTGGACAGAAGAAATGTGAGTTATAGGGAGCCTGATACCTCTTATCCATGCTGTGTTCAGTGAGCTACTTGTGTGAGGCAAACATTTTTTTCACATAGCTACAACCCCAATCTGCCTCACATCTACAACCCTGCCTGCTTGCCTGCCTGCCTTCTTTATTTTATTTATTTTTTTTTTTTTTAAACAGGGTCTCTATTACCTCTGACTGGCCTAGTTATATAGACCAGGCTGGCCTAAAACTCACAAAGATTCACCTGCCTCTGCCTCTGAGAGCTAAGATTAAAGGTCTGTGCCCAGTCTCCAGCTTCCTTTGAATAAACTCAGGCCAGCCATTAAGTATTTGTAGACAAGCATGATGACTCATGGTTGTCATTTCAGTGCTCAGGAAACTGAGACAGGAAGGTTACTGAGAGTCAGGCTAGCCTGGGCCTCTAGGCCTTGTCTCAAAACAAACAAACAAACAAAAATGTCTAATTGTATCATAATCCTACATCTGGTAGGTTGGGGTTAGTTCAAGCTCTATATTCTTGCTATCTGCTTTACAGCCAAGTAATATGACTGCTTTGTGAAATTGGCAGGGGGTTTTGTTTTTGTAGTTTTGCTATTTGAGAGTCTTGTTATTCAGCCTAGACTTGCCTTGAACCCACAGCCATTCGTTTGCCTCCACTTCCCCAGTGGTGGGATTACAGTACACACAGCACTACACCTGGCTGATTGTGCTTTTAGTTTAGTTCTAATGCCTAGTTATTTTGTAGTTAATTCAAATACGAAATTGGGGCTCTGTTAAGAATTGAGACTATTAAAGCTACACAGGAAAAAGTGGAGTATGTTTTTAGTTGTAGGTGTTATAAAAGTTTGTGGGGGACCTTAGCAGATTCCATGGCAGACATACAGAGCTTAAGTGAGAAGATTTTTAGAAAGGAGAGGGGATAGAAGAGAAGAGGGAAACAGGAAAAGTACTGAGTGCCCCAGGGGAACAGCCGAAAGGAGAGAGGGAAATAGAGCGAAAGTGTGTGGGGATCTTTCTTTTAAAGGGGTCCTTTGAACCTAAGTGCAGACTATGCATCCATGGAACCCTGGGCTGACCAGGATATTGCCTGAATGCATTCTGCCAGGTGACAGGGGCAGGCCAGCATAATGTCTGAATCCTTACAGTAGGAGCTAGAGATCTTTTAGATCCTAACATCTGGGCTGCAAACGAGATACTTAAACCCCTAAAATTAATACATACATTAGGTTTGGATTTTGAATTGAGGTGAAATAATTAACTGTACATGAATCATCTGATGTCTGTAAACCACTATTTACTCAATATTTCTTATTTATTTTGTATGGCCTTTGTCAAATTCTCCTAGGTCAAATGGCTTGTGGTAATTGAATCTGACTATTGCTCATAAATAAAGTTGTTTGTTTTTTTGGGGGGGCAGGGGTTGAGACAGGGTTTCTCTGGAGCTTTGGAGACTGTCCTAGAACTAGCTATGTAGACCAGGCTGGACTCTTGAACTCACAGAGATCTGCCTGCCTCTGTCTCCTGAGCGCTGGGATTAAAGGTGTGCATCACCAATGCCAGGCAGAAAGTTGAGATTTTTATCACAAGTTAACTTCTATTTTTATTTGTTCATACAGTGCTTTCTGATGGATACATAATAATTTTTATATGACATCTTCATGCATGTACATAATGTATTTCTTTCCTTCCCCCCCCCCCAAAACAGGGTTTCTCTGTGACTTTGAAAGCTGCACTGGAACTCCACTCCTGCTCCCGCTAAACCCCACTTCCTCTTCCCAACTAGCCCCTTACTTTCATGTCCTGTGTGTCTGTGTCTATCTTCTGATAGGTTGCATGACCATAGTAGTGTTTGTAAACACACATTTCATGGCATCACTATTGCAATATGAAATTTGCAGGGAGTTGATTTGTGTGTGTGTGTGTGTGTGTGTGTGTGTGTGTGTGTGTGTGTGTTAGGTCAGTATGGTAGAATATGAAGAGTTTGTACAGATGGGAGTTATCTGGTCCTCTCTGCAAGGGATTTTGAGTCCATCATCTGTGAGGCCAGAGGGATAGAGTCTTTAATAAGCTGGCAACCTGTGGGCCAGAGAGGAGGCTAACTATGAACACATAGTTCACTAGTACTTACCTACTTTTTATTTACTTTATTATTTTTAATTATGGGGGTGTTGAGCACATGAGTACAGGTGTCCTCAGAGGCCAGAGGTGCCAGATCCCCTGTAGCTGCTGGGTCTTGTGTGTAAACAACCACAGTTGGGAACTGAACTTAAGTTCTGTACAAGAACAGGACATGTTCGTTCCTAGTCACAGAGCCATCTCTCCAGCCCTCTTACTTATCTCTCAGGAAGAGCAGAGAGGTTGAGGACAGGTTCCATCCTCAATTCATAGAATAAAGACCTGTAAGGAGTAAGGTTTTTTTTCTCCCGCTGCTGGTCTTGTCCCACCGCCGCGCCAGCCCCAATTAACACACAGAGACTCTGTATTAGATACAATTCTGTTGGCCTGTTACTTGTTTCTTATCGGCTAGCTCTGTCTTAATTATTAACCCATTTCTATGTATTTCCACGCGATTTCCTTACCAGGGAATGGGGCAGACATCTGGTCTCCCCGGTCTCTCCATGCTGACTCCCCCTTACTACTTCCTCTTCCTCCTTGTCTCCTAGTCCCTTCTATCTTCCTTTCCTATTGGCCAACAGTGCTTTATT